ATGTGGGCTTTCTGACTTTAACATATCTGCACTTGTCTCATATTTTTATTTATTTACCCACTTTTAATAAACTGAAATGATTACTTCTGTATTATTTGCTGTGCTACTGTATTACCTGTTGCTGCATTACAAATTATCCCATGACCTAATGACTGAAATAGTAACTAACATTCTCTGAAACAGTTTCTGTGGGGGAGGTATCCAGAAGGAGCCAGCGGTAGACCTTTTTCTGGATCCCCCTGGGCTGCAGTCATCTGAAGGCTTGATGGGCTGAAGGGCTCACTGCTAGGATGGCCTATTCACATGCCTGCAAGTTATTGATGGTAGTTGGAGGAGACCATCAGGTCCTTGTCACGTGATCTGCCCAAGTGCCCTCACAGAATGATAGGTTGCTTTACCTGGGGCTAGAGTGAGGGGTCCACAAGGAAGCAAGGCAGAAGCCACAGTGCCTTTTATGACCTAGCCTCCAGAGTTCACTTTGCTGTTATTACAGCATCATTGTGGGACCCAAGAGGGTGGAAATGCCAGGAGGTGGGCATTACAAGGCCTGTCTTGGAAGCTGGCTGCACAGCTATCTAATGTCCCTGTTGTTCATCATTGATTGCTTCCTGTTTTTGGACAGCAGTGTGGAATGAGAGTGGCCATTCTATTATATATACATAGCTTCTCTTGAAAATAGACCAAAAGAATTTGAGACGCCAGTTAGCTTCCAAATTGTCAGGAACACTGTGATGTTTCATAGAATTGCATTGATTTCGAGTTTATTGATTTGAGAATTTGTGTTAATAGAGGAACCATTTATAGGATTTTTCTTAAGTAACAAATTTAGAATAGTTTCCTTTTGGGGAGGCCTCACTAGAAAACAAGGTGAATGGGTGATTTTAAATGATTGTTTTAAAATGTGATTTAAAATGATTGTTATCAAATATTTCTTTGATTGTTGTATCTTAGTTCTTTGGGGCTGCTAGGTGATTTAAAGTGATTGTTATCAAATATTTCTTTGATTGTTGTAAGGTGATTTAAAATGATTGTTATCAAATATTTCTTTGATTGTTGTAAGGTGATTTAAAATGATTGTTATCAAATATTTCTTTTGATTGTTCTATCTTAGTTCTTTGGGGCTGCTATTAACAAAATCCCAGACTGGGACACTTAGAAACAACAGGAATGTACTCCCCTCTCTGGAGGCTGGGAGTCAGCGCAGAGGGACGTGTGCTCTGCTGAGGGCGCTCGCCTATGGGAGCCTCTTTTGTAAGCACCAGTTCCATCTGTGAGGGCTGCACACTTAATGGCTAAGTACCTCCCAAAGCCCTCTGTACTGATACTCAGAATTTCATCATATGATTGGCAGGGGCACAGAACATTCTTACCATAGCATTTTTCAAGTAGACTATTCATATACAGGCATGCCTCAGATAAAGTTTGTTTGTTTTTTTCCTTATCTTTCTTATTCTTATTCATTTTCCTTTGGTTATATTTGTCCCAACTGGATTTAAAAGCTGCATTTTTTTTTTTTTAAGTTCGTCACTAGGAATTAGGTTTTGTTTCCTCATAGGAAAAATTGTTATATTTTTGTCTTTTTTGAGTTGAACTTGTGTTTCAAGGCTAATCCACAATTATTTAATGTATTAGAGACTATTTTTGTTTTGGAAGTTAGAAGGAAATAATGCCATTGCAGTGTTAGTAAAGAGCGAAACCAAAAAAGTGCATTCTTGAGCAGGAGGAATTATCATTAATCTGGTGCTTAAGGAAAACTTTCTGTAATTTGAGAGGTCTTATTAGAAAACCAGAAAGAGGTCTTTGGATTTCATTGAACTAATTTACTTAAATTATGTATATGTACCAGTACACACACACACACACACACACACACACACACACACACCTGAATCAAATCCTATTCTCACCTTCCTTGGCCTCAAGGTATCCTTTTATTTGTTTTGTTGTGTGTTTTTTGTTTGTTTGTTTGTTTAAGGCTGGTTTATTTGGAAGGAGTCTGCTAGGAAGTCCAAGTAGAATGAAGAAAAGACTGATGTTATCTAGTAAGTCTTAGAAGAAAAAGGAAGCATGTTGGAGACTAAAAGAAAATGAGATCAGAGAAGAGGCTGGACGAAAATTTTTTTATTAAAAGATTTGTGTCCAGCTGTCATGGCTCAGTGGATGAATGTCAACCTATGAATCATGAGGTCATGGTTTGATTCCTGGTCAGGGCACATGCCTGTGTTGCGGGTTTAATCCCCAATGTAGGGTGTGCAAGAGGCAGCTGATGAATGATTCTCTCTCGTCATTGATGTTTCTCTCTTTCCCTCTTCCTTCTCTGAAATCAGTAAAAATATATTTTAAGGAATAATTGTTATACTGTTTTTCTAAATAGTAATAAATTAGAAAATTAGTTGATAGGTTGATACTTAAAAGATGTAAGTGTGGAGTAATATGTAAACAAATATAATATGTTGAATGAGATTAGATCTTGTGGTTAATGCATGATAAATTATAATCTTGTATGAGTCAGTAATAGTATACTTGAAAATTTATTTGATACTAGATAACAAAGCAGTTCTTGGAATTAAGTTATTCATAATATCTCCTGTGGGTGTTTCGTACACTGCTGTAGATAAATGTTAGAAATTCTGTATAGTTAATTATAGTTTTGTATTCTTTTTAGAGTAAATGGGATAAAATAAATCATATTGAGAAACAGGCTATTTATTGGGGAAATTTTCTATTTATGAGTCTTAAAACTGAAAATAGATAAAATATTATCTGGAAGCTGAGGGGACATGTCCTCTCAGTTTCAAAGATCCTTGCTGGATCTTGGATTTTTATAATTTCTCTTAGTCCAATGATATATTTATATCAGATTTTATCAATTATTTTAAAATTTCCTTTATATTGATTTAAGTTTGGTGAATCAGAGTCCATGTACGTATAGTGGACTAACCAAGAGTTACAATGAAACAGAAGCTATGGATCCACACTTCAGAATGCTCACCATTTACTGTGGAACAACTCATTTATACATGTAAGAGAGAAATATGCTAATTAACCGGGACACTGTAACAGGCCGACCAGACAGGAGGAGGTTTCAAATGCAGGGTCAGGTGTGGGGCGGCAGTGGCTGTGGTTGCTTCATGGGCCAGAGAGGGAGGCAGGGCTGGACTGGCAGCAGCCTCAGCTACTGTGGAGCCTGGGGAGGAAGGAAGGGCCGGACTGAAGACTGTGGGCGGTGCCACACTATTTTGAATCTTGTGCTGGGCTCCTAGTGTATAATGATGGAGATAAAACTTTTGTAACTTTTTCAGTGACTTCTTTTTGCTACAAAGAATTTAAAGTGTTTTGTGTAAAGCTAAGCAGTGTTTCCCAAAGTGTGGTACGTGTACCCCCAGGGGTACGGGAAGAGTTTGGTGGGGGTACGCGTTGCACGGGAGTTTGGTGAGAATATGTACTGCACCATGCTTAGCTGCATGTTCTCATAAGTACGAGGGGTACTCAGCGTTACGAAAATTATAGAAGGGGTAAACATATGTCAAAAGTTTGGGAAACATTGAGCTACAGTAAACTTTAGAATGGAATCTGATATCGATGATAAATGTGCAAATCTAATGCTTACAGCCTCCTCCCGCCCTCCATTCAGGAATTGAAAATGCACTGCCCTGCAGGAAGGTTATAAGTGGAGAAGGACTTGTGTCTTCAGCCCCGTTGATTGGAGCATGGTCCCATGCGCCGAAGGGCTGTGGGTTTGATTCCTGTTGGGGTACATGCTCAGATTTCGGGGTGCATGCAGGAGGCAGATCTATGTTTCTCTCTCTCCCTCTCTAGAATCAAGGAAAGAATATCATAGGGTGAGGATTTAAAAATAAAAATAAAAATAAACAATTGTCTTCAGATAGAATGAGGGTCAGGAAGTCCTAGCAAACTTAATGGAGGTGGGATTTTCCCCTTTTCTTCTTGACTTATTTAGAGGGATGCCAGTGAAATGTCTACTCGAAGTTTCTAGAGAGGAGGAAAGGAGAGTGATCTTGGTAAATACCTCTGCAACACTAGACATGAGAAGACGGTGGAATAACATCTATAAACTATTGAGGGGAAAGGCCCGCAGACCAAAAACTGCATAACACTGTATACATACTATTTTGAATCTTGTGCTGGGCTCCTAGTGTATAATAATGGAGATAAAAAATGCCAGGGCAGAAAACAAGACATTTTTGGAAAATGCAAGGAATATCAGCTATGGATCTCAAATGCTGAAGATTCTACTTGAAGTATTCTAGATGAAAGTTGAAGCAAAACGTTCTCCTGACGATAAAGGAAGCAGTTGCGATTTTACAGGAAATCTGTACAGTATGATGAGTGATCATCTACTGGGTGGCGTAAATCAAAATCTTTGTTCTACTTTTGTGCCCCTTTCCACCCATCCCAGACCCAGTCCGCCCCAACCCCATTCCCCACACACCTCTTTACTGTCACTTTGTGTATGTTTAGGAAGCATGCACTCTGACCTAGAATTTCTGTTTTTATTTATTTATTTAAATCACTGTAGGTCTGTGTTTGTTTTTAAATTTATTTTTACGGAGAGGGAAACATCACCCATGTGAGAGCGGAGCATCAGCTGGCTGCCTCCTGCATTCCCCCCTACTGGGGCTTCAGCCTGCTACAGGCATGTGTTCTGCCTGGGAATCGAACCGGCAACCTTTCAGCACTCAGGAGGATGCCCAGCCAGCGGAGCCACACCGGGCCGGGGCTAGGAAATCTGCTTTTCAATTGCTGTACTTCCTGCTGCAAACGGCTGTTTCTCGGAAACCTGTTGGTCACGGCTCTTATTGCAACAATAGCAACAAGCTGTGGCAGATTTAAACAAAAGAGGGACTCTGGCAGGGCTGGGTGGCCAGGGTCCCTGGGAAGGCCGGGGAACCCTGGCCAGAAATGGAATGGAGCGTGGCAGCGACAGCACTGCATCTTCATTTAGAAGTAAAATGCCCTTTTTTTCTTTTCCAATGTAGGTTATATATTTGGGGAAAACTCCAGAAGAAGCATATTCAATATTAATGTTCGGCAATACAACCTACATTCCTTTCAGGTAAATGTAAGATGATATGGTAGATTCATTTAATCAGGCGCCAGAAATACCTGGGTGCAGGGGTTTCAGAAAAAGCGGACCTGGTAAAGTCTGTCTAGGGCGAGGGCACTCAGCAGGTACGCGACTGGTATCTTGTTGTGGGGCTGCCCTGTGTATTGTAGGGTGTTCAGCAGCACCCTGGCTTCTGCCCACTAGATGCCAATGACACCTCTACCCCCACAACAGTTGTCAAAGCTAAAAAGTACACAGGCATTGCCCAATGTCCCTGACATGTGGTGCAGGTTGCTCTACTGAGTCCCACTCCCCTTGATGGAACCATCAGATGAGGGTCCTGACTTAGGGTTCTCAAAGCTACTTCTGAGGAGTTTGGTTCCTGAGAGATTAAGAAATAAATTTTCCCTCTAGTTAATTTCTGGGATAAAAACTAACCCTTTCTCCTAAGGACACAGCCAGCAGAGATCGTAGGTGAGGCTGCTAACATGACATCACTACTCGAAAAAGCAATGGCTGTGCCTCAGAGCCTAGATGAGCGATGTCTGAGTGAAGGGTGACGTCCTCACTCTCCTCTCCCACTCACTACGTGATTGTGCTGAAGATCTCTGGGGAAAAACTTTTTTCTTTAAATCAAATTAAGTTCTGAAAGTTTTTCTACCTGTTTACCAAAACATTTGACTTAACTATATAATCTAAATACTTATATGGTGCTGAATGTGTGAAGTAATTTTACTTATTGCCTGCTGTATGGATAATCTCAAATATCGCATTATTCTTCCACTCATAAATCCGTAGGTTTAGGATTGTTGCATAAACCTCAAATGCCCGATTTTGAAGGTGTGGTCTTCCTTTTAAAGTGGGAGGCTCTACTCGGTGAGCTTTGGGGGGTGTCTCCCTCATGTCAGGCAGCACCTCCTCCTTCAGTAACTTTGCAGGACCAGCCACAGACTTGCTCCTTGACATAGATCTGTGAGGACAGTCTGCAGTCTGTTACGACAGTGACCTGTTGCACTGCATGCTGTATGTTAGTGACTTAGTAAAGCAGAAGGATTACTCTGAACCCAGTGCCAACCCTTCTTCCTAGTGAACACATTACCTTGGAAGGGGTAGAAAGGGTTGATGTTATTTTTAAACTGGAAAGTGCTTCATTTTTCTTCTCCACCTAAAATGTAACAGCAACCGTGTACTTCCTTTAGGAAAAATGCTTGTATTTTTGGTCCCTGAGTGACAGGCACACCGATAAATAGTGATCATGGTGTTCTGTGGAGCGCTTCTTTATCCTAGCCTTTGAACATTATATAAATGGAGTCATACAGTGTGCATTTTGGAGAGCTGGGATCTAGCTTTTTAAACGCTACCTCTGAGATTTGTCCATATTGTGGTGGGTATCTGCAGCTCATTCTTTTTCTTTTTACTACTTTCGTAATAGAAAGTAATGGAATAGCATTCCATTCACTGACTTTGTCACAATTTTGATTTACATCTGATTTTCCAAATTTGTTAAGTGATCATAGTGCCAAGCCCCCTCTCAGCTAAGGCTTGTATCCAGACCCCTAACTGCCATGCTGCTGTTTTGAAGAAGCCTGATTGCTTGGGTGGGGGCAGAGGTGTTGATGAAACAGACAAGTGAACAAAGAAAGGTTCTTGTTGGCGATTCAGACAGTGCAACCTGTGAGGCAGAACAGTAGCCAACCTCAGGTGAAAGCTTGCTGGATCATCATTGTCTAAAGCAGGTTTGGCCCACGTTAGGTTCTCCAAAAATAGGCATTGAATGCAAAGACTGAATCAACATGCCTTTCCGGGATTGGATGTCAGTTTATTAAGAAGATAACATCCTGGCTGAGGAGGAGAATTGCTGAGGGTTGGTGCAGCTCTGGGCCGAGTTGACTGCAAACTGAAGTTAGCACTTCCCAAGAGCAGAGCAATTCTGCAAAGGGTAGTTGTTGCCCTAATGGGCTTTTAGTGGTACTGTGTTCTTTAAGGATCAGAAAGAAGTTACCCAGTTAAATAGTTAAAAAGTGTAAAATTGTAAAAGCATAATGAGAGGAGAAAAATATTTCAGATACTACCTTCATTTTCTTACTTGGATAGAGTTATATACAAGTACACTGTGCTTACACGCACACACACACAGATACATATATACAGAATAAAAAACCAGTCTTTCCTGGTAACAGGTTGGTACTGTATTTTGTGGTATGAAGAGAGAATTCAAATACCTTTCCCTTCGGGGGCAGGGGTCCATATTGTTGATGGGTAACTCTTGAAGCTCAACCATCAAAGCTCAGGCTGATCCAGAAAGATCTCTCACAATTTAGGAAGTGGTCGTTATTGATCCCTGTTTACTAAACAGTATCTACCGATGGAGGTAGAAACGGACAATAAACATTTATATCAGAGACTTTTATTTAAAAGCCAAACAACAAATATTCTCTTCCCCTTTCCCCGAGTCTTGCTTTGAGTGCATGTTTGGTTTTAAATTCTAGTCAGCTTCATGTTGAGTAATGTACTGCAGAAAATTAACTGAGCTGCGTATTTCAATGATCTTGGTATTTCAGAGATGCTGCCTATGGGAGCTGCAATTTCTTCATTACCCTTCTGGACTGTTTTCACGCGGTGAAGAAGGTAGGTGACTGTGGATACCCCCACCATTGTGCTGGAGAACGGAGCACCGCCCAGGCAAGACAGGTCTTCCCCCCAAAGGCCTCCACCCACTTCCCCACTAACATGAGAAGGGCCTCCACTGGGGAAGTTTGTTCTGAATCTGAGAGTGTCTCTGCATGAGTGGAGAAGCCACTTGAGCAACAGTGGCCAATCAGACAGTTAGGTAATTGAGTTCTAAATCCAGACTTTGAGTGTGTTGTGACTTCAGGGAAAAACAGAATGGCAATAGATTTACTGATTCCCAAGTTCTCTTGGATTATGTGTTTGTATAAGATACATAAATAGGATTCCCACCAATCCTATTTACCTGTTTATAACACAGCGGCATACACTTGGTTTTGAGTCTTCAAGCAGTCAATTTCCAATTCACAAGATCTGAGTAGCCAATAGTTTGTATACTAATGGCCCATTAGTTAACATATAAAACCAACTAGGTCATTACTAAAAAGCTACTTTAAAGTAGCGCCTGTGTTTCTCTGGCACCAGGGGATTCCCTGCATATTTCATTTCAAAAGAACAGGATCCCTTGGAGTTTGAGGCACAGCGGACCCCAGTGGTAAGCCTCACTCCCTTGGGTAGTACTCTTGGATGTCAGGACAGCACAAGCAACTAGAACTTTAAGTCAGTAGCCTATGGATCAGTAAGCTTTCAGTGACCTCTTGAGTGTTTATGGGACTTGTATTTTCAGAGGCAAAAGGAACCTAGCTTTACTTTCTTGTATGCTAAAACATGGTAGCTTTTGAGAATTTTGACAGAAATGTGGATTAAGATGAGAGGACTAATTAGTATATAAAATCAGAGGTTAATTAGTATACCTTTTAATTCTTTTGGGGTTGAGTCCAGCAACTCTGTGACAGGTGCAGGTGACTGAGGCAGCTCTCCCAGGCATGTTTCAGAAGGTGATGGGCTCTATCAGGCGAGGAGGCTTAGCAGGTCTACATGATCCCTCCTGACTGAGGTACAGCCCATCATGGACCCCAGGAAGCTGCTAATGTTGGCATGTGCACAGTCAGGACCCTGGGCCAACCTTTTCTCAGCTCCCACCACCTTTCAATAAAGAGCAAAACAACTTGGAAGACCTGGAAAATGGTCTGTAACAGTGTATAGCTGTCTGTTGTTAATTCTTGCCTTAGTTTTTTTAAATATGTTTTTATTGATTTTTAGAGAGAGGGGAAGGGAGAAGGATAGAGAGATAGAACTTTGATAAGAGAGAAATTTCATGGATCAGCTGCCTCCTGCATGCCCCCTACTGGGGATTGAACCCAAAACCTGGGAGTCCAATGGGTGACTTTGTTTCTGGGTCATTGTTCAACCATTGAGCCACACTGGCTGTGCTTAGTTTTTGTTTGTTTGCTTGTTTTTGTTTTTAACCAGATCTAATTAGCAACTATAAGTCAAAGATTGTACTTTTCACACTATTTAATTTTATTGAAGTCAACAGCTTCTGATTTTCAATTTAAGCATTTGTTTGTTAAGCATTGTTTAGAATATTGTGTGCCTGAAACATTTATAAATGCTATTAGTGCTACTTCTAATGGGATCTCCTTATGAAATTCAAAGAAGAATAGAAATTTCTTATAAACTGCATTTTATTGCATCATTCTGTTAGGAACATCTCTAGTCCAAATATCATGACACATATTGAGTATTTTGAATTCAAGGAAATAAAATTCATCATGGATTTGGTCTTGGAGCTAGCATTTAAATAACTACACTTCATAAAATGAGGCCTTTTTGCTTGGTATTGTAGCTTTTATATTTTTTCATTTATATTTCAGTACTTTAAATTTTGAAAACTGTAAAGTCACCCATGTTTTTTGCTGTTTTCCATTTTTTTAAATTACATTTATTGGGGTGACATTAGTTAACGAGATTACCTTGTTGATCAAGAATTCTAGCTTACATACTGTCTGCCTCAGAAAAGACTTCTCTGAGGCGGACAGCACAGCCTTGCCTCAGAGTATATAGATCCTTTGCTCATTTCACTTAGCATGCTCTGCCCACTGCAACCCAGAATGGAAAACTTACGTGTTTGTTTTTTATTGAAAGACATTTTGAATTTCAGTGTTTGATGTCTGGGCTACAGAGGAAATACTAATCTCTTCACCCAGTGGCCGGCACCCCGCGGCTCGTGAGCCGATGTTTGCCGCTCTGTTGGCGAATGAGTTTGCCGACCCCTGTGTAAGGCATTACCCTTACCCATAAGTTTTGACTTCAGGTTAAAGACATTAATACATTATTAAAATATTTTTTAGATGTTTTTCCCTAAGGCAGGGGTTGGCAAACTCATTAGTCAACAGACCGGCAAACCACGGCTTGCAAGCAGCATATAGCTCGAGAGTCGCAGTTTCCCGACCACTGTCTTAACCTAAGAGGAATTTGAAAGTGAAAATATTTTTGAAGTGTGTGGGATTAGTTTGTGATAAACTAACCTTTCTTTCCTCTATTATTGTTTGGGGGCCATTGAATTCGTGCATTATATTTGAAGCCTGAGTCATGTAGATCCAATAAGAGGGATTACTTTGAAGAATTAATTTTATCATTAAAGTAAATATTGATGTACTAGTAACTACCCTGTTTCCCCGAAAATAAGAGTGTCTTATAATAATTTTTTCTCCCAAAGTTGCGCTAGGTCTTATTTTCAGGGGATGTCTTATCTTTCCATGCACTAGGTCTTATTTTCAGAGGATGTCTTATTTTCGGGGAAACACGATAGTTAGAACTAGTTGGGAGCCTTTATAAGACATATTCCACCTCTTTAGAAAACTATTCAGTGGAACATAATCTGAATATGATAATGGTTTTTGGAGGGTGCCTCCTGATATTAGGAAATTGGATTGGAAATCATTTTTTATTTGAATCTTTGTTCTTAAAAGCTTTCCTTTGTATTTTAGGCAATGCAGTATGGCTTCTTTAATTTCAACTCATTCAAACTTGATGAATATGAACACTATGAAGTAAGTTTTCAAGTTCATTGATTTTAATTCTGTTACTCATGTTTTCCTTACCGAAGTATCACTGTTTTTAAAAACACTGAACAAGGGGGTGTGTGGAGAGTATGAAAGAGTCCCTCGTGATCCTCGTATACAGCCCAGTTCCTCGTGGGCGTCTGCCCTCGTTGCCTTCCTCCTTCCAGAGGGAAGGCCGTGCTGCACGCTGTTTCCTTAGGTTCTGTTTAAACATCTTTAGTAATGATGTCTTTCATCTGTGCCTAAATGAGACCATGTTTGTAAAACCCTTAGCACAGACTCTGATGGGATGAATAGATAGTGATGATGCATCTAACTAACCTCTGGAGAATATATTTTATCATTACCATTTTCATGAAGTCAGGACACTTCTGCTTGTGAATTTCACAAAGTAAACACTTATGGCTTAAATAAAAAAGGGAAGATTTATTGATTTTCATATGTAAAAAGTCCGGGAGCAAGTGTACCATCACGCATGACCAGATTCAAGTACTCACTTTCTCACCAGAAACTGTGCGGAAGGAGGTGCTGTGTCCCAGGCCAGCCCTTAGCAGTGGTAATGATAGTCACTAGCCACTGTGACTCTCCCGGTTGCCAAACTCACCCGAAAAGAGCATCCAGGCTCCAGCAGGAGATCCTCTCCCTGGCCTGGCTTAGATCATATCCCTAGCTCTCCACCAGGCATGTTCCCAGCAAGGGTAGGTGGGGGAGCATACTCACTCCCCCAGGAGCTGGAGTGCTGGGCCAGCCCTATGAACCACACAGACCAAAAAGAGTCCAGGCGGGCAAAACCACAGGTGTCCTCCTCTCTTTAATGCAGTGTGTTTCTTTTAAAGAAAAGTAACTTGATTCTACTGTTTATCCCACCGGGTAACCCAGGGCTCCCTGTTTCAAGGTTGCAGTCGTCCTAGGGAAATAGGCTGGAAGAGGATAATGAGTAAGATGCTGAAGGTCCTTTTCAGCCAAGAATGCTGTGGGGTCTTATCTTCTTATCTTATTACTCAGGCCACTGGGCTGATCAGGGGAAGGCACCACCCCCATCACCCTGCTGCTCCTGCCACTGCTGGCCATGGTGGCTGTGAGGCCTGATCTTCAGGCTTCGCAGCAGCTGGCACTTATGGCTGCCTGTGCCCATGGCTGCCGTGAGTCCCGGGCCTTGCAGCTGCTGTGGCTTTGTCAGGATGGACATCTGGAAGATGTCTGCCCTAATTAGTATACTACCCTTTTATTATTAGAGATAGTTATCTGGAGCAGACTTGTCACTGATAATCAGTGACTTCAGACAGCATTTTATGCAGCAATATCTTGAATCCTCACATAACTATTCTTTAACCATCAATTTCTAATTATTTTAAACTCTTAGGTATAACTGAACTGTTTTATTGATGAGTAGGGTTAGTGTTATGATCAGTCATTACAGAAATATACCCAAAATGTAAAAGCAAAATGTACGATTCCTTAGGGCACACCCTGTCTTTATTCTCTGTTAGAGCAAAACATTTCCAAAGTACAACATATATTTCATTACCACATTACACTATTGACTGCAAATTAATTATTACACTCTTCTGGTGCTTGTCCTTATAAAATTAAACAGTTAAAATATCTTTCCTAGGTAAGCAGAACTCCTAAACCAGCACTCGGTGTTCTTGCTGTGCAGCACAGCGGTACCGCCATGTGTCCCTCGGGAGTGACACGGCACTCTTTGGCTTCTCTTGCTAATGCAGAAATGCCGGTGCTGGAGGAGCAAGGTCACCAGTGTGTTTACTTTCAGTGAAATTGCTTTGAGACATGGGGACTATTCTGGAGCTCACAAACTGGCTTTGTTCAGTCTCCACAGTGTATTTAGAAATGTTGGGTTAGTGTTTTGTTGATTCCTTGATCCTTGATCCTTGATCCCTCTCTCCCTCCTCCCCTCTTTTCTCCTATGATTTAATAAATTCTAACTACAGGTTTCTTGTTAAACTGTTTTCACTTGAAAATCAGAATACCTGGCAACACTTTTCTCGTTCCCATTTAGACCTATTAGCATGAATAGGCTCACTAATTCTTCTCCGTGATAATTAAGTAATTTGGTTTTAGGTTATGGGCCTGGCCTGTGATGTCCAAGCAGTCAGTCTATTTCTTACTGAGTCTTAGGTACACATATGCACACCCAGCAAAGCTAACTGACCTTATTTTTATCATTAGTTTTCTTCTGTACTCTCAAGGGTCTCCTACTTCCTGCTTAAGTCCTTGTGTAACCATTTCTATTGTTCTTAAATTTGAATTCTGTTTATCTTATAATTGTTATGGAAAGGACTTCGTAACAGGAGTAAAGTGTTTACAATTTCAGTGTTTTTTTTTTTATTATTATTAGACACCTACAATGATCTTAGTATACTTATAATTTCAAATTTCCTAATGGTTTAGTAAAAAATTTTCAGCGGCTTTCATATTAAATAGCTAGCAACATGATGCAAAGACATATTTCTACAAATAAAAAGTAAATATCAGAAGTCCCAGAGCCTGAATAGCTACTTTTTTCTCCTTTGCTCAAGGAGTCAAGATTGCTCATATTGGAAGCCAAGTAGTCATTTAGGAAAATGGATGTTTCCAGATCACTCCTAATAGAAAAGTTTACTTTTATATTAATTTGTAGCAACTATATGAAAATTTACTTGGATAAGATAACTGAAGTACTTAGGTGTATTTTAGATAGCAGCAGTCAGTAGTTTTCTGAAAGCTGACTACCCAAGCAAAGAAACACTTAAAAGAATGATTAGGAACAGAAGAAGTCAACTGACTCTTCCCTGGAATATTCAGAGAAGGCCCAAATTTAGTGTCCTGCTTCATCATTTATAAACAGTGTTTCTGGTAAAGCAAATGGATCTGAAGTTCAACAGGCACTCAATATTGAGAAGGAGTGTGGAGAGAAGATTGAGTCTAAAAATGAATCTCTTTGCAGAAAGCAGAAAATGGAGATTTAAATTGGATAATACCAGGCCGATTTATTGCCTTCTGTGGACCTCATTCAAGATCCAGACTTGAAAGTGGTATGCAAAAATATGGGACCCGGATAGCTTTCTTATTAAAAGTATCCTTTTCTTTTCTTTTCTTTTCTTTTCTTTTCTTTTTCTTTTTCTTTTTCTTTTTTTCTTTTTTTAGAGGCCTAAGAATTCAACTAAGGTTGTTGATCATTTCAATACATTATTCTGCCTGGATTTAACTTTATTTGTTTACATTTATACTCAAAGTAGAGGCCTGCTGCATGATTTTGTGCATGGGGGTAGGGAGGGGGAGAGTTGTCCCTCAGCCCAGCCTGCACCCTCTTGAAATTCAGAACATCCCTCTCACAATTTGGGACTGCTGGCTCCTTACTGCTCACCTACCTGCCTGCCTGCCTGATTACCCCTAACTGCTCACCTGCCTGTCTGCCTGATTGCCTCTAACTGCCTCTGCCTCAGCCATGCTGCAGTAGATTTGTCCAGAAGAACGCCTGGCTATCTTGTCTAATTAGCATATTATGCTTTTATTATTATAGATAGGTATTCAATGCCCAGTCTAGACATTGTTTCCACACAATTACAGGTGAAATTGTTATCATTGTTTTCTTTCTGCATTTTACAACGTTTGATAATTTCTTTATGTAGGTTACTACCAACATGCTCCTGAGTCTTACATTGCCTATTTTAAGAATCACAACGTTACTACCATTATCCGTCTGAATAAAAGGATGTATAATGCCAAACAATTTACGAATGCTGGTTTCGATCACTATGATCTTTTCTTTGCGGATGGCAGCATCCCTACTGATGCGATCGTCAAAGAATTTCTGGATATTTGTGAAAGTGCCGAGGGTGCCATTGCAGTGCATTGTAAAGGTATGTTTGTAGGGTTGGTTAAAGAGGGTTGGGCATGTATGTATAGATGTGTGAATATATTTGTGTATATACCATGGTTATTTAGATGATATGCTAGGACACATGAAGCTGCTTACAGAAGGCATTTTTTATTTTAACTTGCTTGTTTTTAGATTTTTTATTTTATTTTATTTTTTATTTCACAGGGAGGAGGGGGAGGAAAAAGATAAAAACGTTGATGATAGAAAAACATCAATTATTCCCCCTACTGCAGGCCGAGCCCAAAGCCCGGGCATGTGCCCTGGCATGAAATGGAACCCACCAACTTTTAGTGTCTGGGAGAGTGCTCAACCAACTGAGTCACATTAGATGGGCATAAATTGCTTTTTTCTTAAACCCACATTATGGTGGTTTTATTGACATAAAAAAAACTCTACATATAAAGAATGCTTTAAAACCCTAATTTTATATGAAAAGTATAGCAAGTTAAATTGTGTTCATAGGTAACCCTACAAAGGCTCATCACATGGAAATGTATTCATTTATTCATCACAGATCTGCTCCGTGCCTGCTGTTCGGTCAGCTCTAGGGTATGTCAATGAGCAGAGCAGACAGATTGTTTGAAGAAATAATCACTGAAAGCTTCCCAAATTTGAAGAAAGTCACAAATGTAAACACCAAAGAAACTCAGGGAGCCCCAAGCAGGATAAACTCTGAGACCCACACCCAGATGCATTATTATCAATCTAAAGTCAGAGGCAAAAAGAATCTTGGAAATACAATAGTAAAACAGAATCAACTTATCACATTCAAGGGACCCCAGTAAGATGTCAATAGATTTCTCATCAGAAGGTTTATCTATAGGGTGTCCCAAAAAATGTATATGCCCTTTGAATGATTATAAGGTCAGTTTTTATTAACATAACAGTTCATTTTCAACATTTAAAAGAAGCTACAGAATGAATAATATTTTTGTCAACCCCTGTTTTCAAACAGATGACTATTCTGGTCCATACACTGCTAATAATACAAAGCAATGGAATCATAAACATCAAGAATCATTTTGTTCAGTTTTTGTGTGCCCTTAATTCATCAACTGTTTTTGGTTTTGTAACATAAACTTTATATTTTATGCATCACCATAAAAAAGCCTAGTGGATATTTTTTCTTTGTTCAAAGCTTAATCTGGCCTCACCTATTATTTCAAACCAGTTAAACCTAAAAAGGAATAAAAATGAAGTGAGTTATCAGCTGTGAAAGTGTGCATACATTTTGGGGAGACATAGGCTATACACACTGAATAATTTATAAAGGAAGTGTTTGTACTTCAACTGTGTTTTCCATCTTCCAATAGCACTTTAGGATGAAATTCCTTTGTTCAGAGCTTACCTGGCTGAAAAGAAACAACAGCTGAGCTCAGCTGTTAAAGTGTGTGTACATGTTTTTACCACTTGCAAAGTGCTGAAGGGAAAAAAGAGTCAGCCACAAATCCTGCAACTGGCTGAACCTTTTCTTAAAAATGGGGTGAAATTAAGACATTCTCAGATAATTAAAAGGTGAGGGAGTTTGCTACCACTGGGCTTGCCATGCAAAGAAAGCTAACGATTGAACAGAAGGACACTAGTTAGTCACTAGAAGCTATCTGAGAAGTACAGATCTCTGGTTAGAGTAAATACATTGGACACTTATAAAGGCTGTTACTACTGTTACTTAAGCTATAGACTCTCTAATGAAAAAATGAGATTGGAAGAATGGCTTAAAAAAATAAAAGAGAGTCATTTAGATCCAAAGACACAAATAGATTAAAAGTGAAAGGATGGGCAAAGGTACTTCATATAAATAGTAACCAAAAGAGAGCAAAGGCGATTATACTGATATCACACAAAATAGACTTTAATGAAAGATTATGATTCAAAAGGGGGCATTATCCTATCTAATAAAAGAGTAATATACAAATTGACCATCTCCAACACGCAAAGATGGCCGCCCCCATGTGGTCAAAGATGGCTGCTCCCATGTGGATGCAAGATGGTCGCCACAAGATGGTTGGCAGGGGAGGACAGTTGGAGGGACCAGGCCTGCATGGGAGGGCAGTTAGGGGCAATCGGGCCAGCAGGGGAGAGGTTAGGGGCATCAGGCAGACAGGCAGGCGAGCAGTTGGGAGACAGCAGTCACAGACTGTGATAGGGATGTCCGACTGCCGGTTTAGGCCTGGACATCCCTTGAGAGGTCCCAGATTGGAGAGGGTGCAGGCTGGGCTAAAGAACACCACCACCACCCAACCGTTCCCCACCCCCGCACAAATTTCATGCACCAAACCTCTAGTCTACACTAATAAAAGAGAAACATGCAAATTGTCTGTCGTGTCTCCCCCCCCCCCCCCGCCCACTTTGTAGTCTCAGAGCTATAGTGAGCAGGAGGCTTGGATTGCCCCTGGTGACGGAAGCCAAGCTTCCCACCTGCCCTGCCTTCACTCAAGGAGTGGCTAAAAAAAAGGGGGGCGGGGGGAGAGGACTGCTGGGGGTCTGGGTTGTCAGGGGCATGGCCTGCCTGAAAATAGCCCTCAGCCCCTTACCCAGGCTAGCCACGCTCCCATGGAGTAAGAGTCCCCGCTGGGGGCGTGACTAACCTACAAACAGCCCTCAGCCCCTCACCTAGTCTGGCCACAGCCCCCAAGCAGGTTCCCTCACCCCATGGGGGCATAGCTGGCCTGCAAACCATCACAGGCCCCTCACCCAAGCTGCCTAAGCCCAAAGGGAACCCCCACCCTGATCTGAGACACCCTTCAGGGCAAATCAGCCGGCCCCCCACCCGTACCAGGCCTTTTATCTATACTAATAAAAGGGTAATATGTTAATTAGACTGGGAGACCTGGAAAAAATCATGGTGACAGGGCCAAGGTAGAGGTAGTTAGAGGTGAAGAGGGTAGGGCACTTGTGGGTAATCAGGTCAGTGGAAGGGGAGGTGTTGGGATTGATCAGGCTGGCGGGGAGGGCGCAGTTGGGGCTGAGCAGATCAGCAGGGGGGCCAGTTGGGGGTAAGCAGGCTGTCAGTGGAAGTCATTGGGGTGATTGGGACAGCATGAGGGCAGTTGGGGGTGAGCAGGCTGGCAGGGGGGCAGTTGGGGGCTAGCACACTGGCACAGGGGACAGTTGGGGGTGATCAGGCTGGCGAGGGGGCAGTTGGGGGTGAGCGGGTGACAGGTAGAGTAGTTAGGTGCAATCAGGCAGGCATGTGACCAGTTAGGAGCTAGCAGTCCCAGATATGAGAGGGAGGTCCAACTGCTGGTTTAGGCCCGATCCCTGTAAACTAGCAGTAGGACATCCTTCGAGGGGTCCCAGATTGAAGAGGGTGCAGGCCAGGCTGAGGGACATCCCCCTCCCCATGCACAAATTTTATGCTCTGGGCCACTGGTATATTAATAAAGATTCAATATAGTAAGGAGGTGTAACACTTATAAACATTTTACGTGTCTAACAGACCTTCAAAATATGGGAAAGAAAATTAGACAGAATTGAAGGGGAAAATAAACAATTGTCCAAAAATAGTTGGAAATTTTAATATCCCCACTTTCAATAATGGGTAGAAAAACCAGACAAAAGTTTAAAAATGCAGGACTTGACCACCACAATAAACCAGCTACATCTCAGAGCATACGGTGCACCCTGCTCACCAATGGTATGTGCTGTTGTCTCAAGTGCATGACGGACATTTATGATGACTGATCACATTTTTATTTCAAACATATTTTTTATTGATTTCAGAGAGGAAGGGAGAGGGAGAGAGAGATAAAGCATCAATGAGAGAGAATCAATGATTGGCTGCCTCTTCCACACCCCCTATTGGGGATCAAGCCTGTAATCCAGGCATGTGCTCTTGACCTGAATCGAACCTAGGACCTTTCCTTCCATAGGCTGATGCTCTATCCACTGAGCCAAACCAGCTAGGGCAATAATAGCTTGTTAAATGTACTTTTGAAATGTTCAGACCAAAAAAATCACTACCACATGAGTAATACATCTCGTTTTCCCTTAGCTGTGTAGAAGCTTTGGTGGATTTTCCTCCCTTTGGCTTTGGAAAGTTATTCTTTCCCCTTTTTTTTATTAAGTTTACTAGGGTGACATTGGTTAATATGATCCTAGAGGTTTCAGGTTTGGGTTCCTATGTTACAAGATTGTGTACTGCACTGTGTGCCCATCATCCGAAGTCAAATGAGAAGAATGCTGTCTGCTCCATTAGTGTTCTGCAGGCCTACCCGGGAGGCAGGCCCGCTCCGTGGCTCTGGTGGTGGCCTTGTCCCTGAAGAGGATCATGGTAGCCTGGGCCATGCCCCTGGGCCTGGGTGGTGGCGGCCGTGCCAACCTCTGTGACTCTTATTTCTGGCTTCTGGTGATTAAATCCATGGGTAATGTCTTGATGGAGTTGCATGTTCAACCACACCATTGGTGTTGTCTTCAGAACTTGTGTGCTTTTTGCAGTATGGACAGGCTTAGAATTTTCAAAATACTTAATTTCTGGTTCCTTTTTGTTTAAAAAGTTCTTAGATTCATCTCCTTCTGCTCATATTTTACATGTTAGTAAGGAGACCCCAGGCTGCACCTTCAACCCTTCAATCACTGAGTATCTCCTTTGCTAAATATGCAAGGTCGCTGCTCACAAGTTTTGCTTTCCACAAAGCCTGCAAGCACAATACAGCCAGGATTTGGGCCTCTTTCTAAGAAGGATGGCCTTTCTTCTATTTTCCAATAATATGGTCTTCATTTCCACCTGCATCTGCTCCAGGATCCGTGCTAACAAGCATACTCCTGCTGACAGCTCCTTCAAGGCAGTCTAGGTGTTTTCTTTGTTTGTGTGTGTGTGTGTGTGTGTGTATGTGTTTACTTTATAACTTATTTTTTATTTTTTTAAATATATTTTATTGATTTTTCACAGAGAGGAAGGGAGAGAGATAGAGAGATAGAAACGTTGATGAGAGAGAAACATCAACCAGCTGCCTCTTGCACACACCCTACCGGGGATGTGCCCGCAACCAATGTACATGCCCTTGACCGGAATCAAGCCTGGGACCTTTCAGTCCGCAGACCGATGCTCTATCACTGAGCCAAACCAGCTTTGGCAGTCTAGGTGTTTTCTTACAAGAGCCTGTAACTCCTGCAGCCTTTAAATTCCAGAGCCAAAGCCACTTTTTTTTTTTTTTTTAATATATTTTATTGATTTTTTTTACAGAGAGAAAAGGAGAGAGATAGAGAGTTAGAAACATCGATGAGAGAGAATCATTGATCAGCTGCCTCTTGCACATCCCCTACTGGGGATGTGCCTGCAACCAAGGTACATGTCCTTGACTGGAATCGAACCCAGAACCTTTCAGTCCGCAAGCTGACGCTCTATCCACTGAGCCAAACCGGTTTCGGCGAGCCAAAGCCACTTTTTCATTTTTACGTATTGTTATGGTTATGGTACCAAAATCTGTATTAATGATTGTTTTCCAGAGAAACAACCAGTAGGATATGTATGATACATACGAGATCTGTGATAAGGAATTGGCTCGCACACAAAGGTGGGCTGGCAGGCTGGAGTCCCAGAGGAGCCAGTGGGCATGAAGCCTGGAGGCGGTCTGCTGGAGAGCCCCTGCGAGCTTGGGGAGACCAGCCTTTTGTTCTGTTCATACCTTAACTTAGGGGTGTCGAACTCAATCAGAGAAGAGGCCAAAATCTAAAATCCAGCCTAAATCGCGGGCCGAATTACTGAACAGTCATAAACTGTCATTGTGATGGAAACGCAGCGGAGTGCAGTGATGACAGCGCGGTGCGGGCCACATTGCAAGGCCTGGCGGGACGGATTTGGCCTGCGGGCCTTGTGTTTGACACATGTGCCTTAACTGACTGAATGAGGCCCACCCACATGGAGGGTAATCTACTTACGCCAAAGTCACTATTCTCACCCAAATACACCTGCCAGGCTGACACAAAGTTATCATTGCAGGATGAAATAGAGTTTAGGTGAGAGTAAAAGAGAATAGCAGGAATAGAGTTTTAAAAATTTTATGTGAAAATGAGTAGAAAGGTACAGTAGAAACACTGGTGAATGAAGGGGAAAGCTCTGCAAGATTTTAAGCCTGTGCTTTTGGGAATATGATTTTGTCATTAAGAGGAAACTCTGTAGAATCACTGGACTTCTTGAGCGTTGTCACTCAGACAGTGATTTTTTTTAAAAATATATTTTATTGATTTTTTTACAGAGAGGAAGAGAGAAGGATAGAGCTAGAAACATCGATGAGAGAGAATCATCAGTCAGCTGCCTCCTGCACACCCCTACTGGGGATGTGCCCACAACCAAGGTACATGTCCTTGACCAGAATCGAACCCAGGACCCTTCAGTCCGTAGGCCGAAGCTCTATCCACTGAGCCAAACCGGTTTCGGCTAGACAGTGATTTTCATTCCTGTCTATGTGTAGAATCATTTGGAGGATTAGAAATCTCTGTCGAGGCGGCATTATATAACAAATCAGCTCTCTGGAGGTGTTTTTAGACCTCTCCAGGAGATTGCAGTGTGCATCCGAATTTGAGGACCACTGTTTAGGGAGGCAGGCCCACCCCTCGCAACATAATGCTGGAGTTCAGGAGACCAGGTCTGATCGGCTTGTTTCCCGTCCTAGCTGGCCTTGGACGAACGGGCACCCTGATAGCCTGCTACATCATGAAGCATTATAGGATGACGGCGGCCGAGGCCATCGCCTGGATCCGAATCTGCAGGCCTGGCTCCGTGATTGGGCCGCAACAACAGTTCTTGATGACGTAAGTAGTTGGAAAGCTCGGGTGATGCCTAGGGAATGCTTGGATCTGGATACTGATTGGAAGTAGACTTCTTAGTTCCTTAAGGACAAGTGGTCTTGGAGGAGGAAGTTGTTCATTTGTCACTTTCTCGAAAGGTGTATTTTGATGCTATTTAAATGCTCTGACAGGAAACAGTCAAGCCTTTGGTTGGAAGGAGACCATTTCCGTCGAAAGTTAAGGGGTCAGGAGAATAGCAGACACAAAGCCGCTGTCTCAAAGCTCCTCGTGGCTGTGGATGACTTTTCACTCCATGGGGCCGAGAAACACACCAAGCAAAAACCTGAACTGGTAATCGAACCATCCTCATCACTCTGTTGGTATTGCTTTAGATGCTGCTGAGAACCTTTTAGGGCACGGAGGAAATTGCAGATCAAAGTAATAAAGCACATTTTGAGGGATTATTGTCACACATTTTTTATACTTAGTGTCCTCTCTAGGAACTTTTTGCTCAAAATAGTTAGAACAAGGTTATATGTCCATGACTCTGGAGTACACTGGGCACTGGTGGGAGGGGATGTGAAAGGAAGCGCTGTAGGTGGCCCTAGTGACCCCCTTCCCGACACCTTGTCCATTCGTGATAGCTGACTAGGGGACCGGCCGTTCTCAAGTGGGGGACTTTAGAGAACCAAGAGTTTAGGGGTAGCTGCTCTGAATTCAGTGATGGTAAGTAGATGGTGAAATTTAAAAAGTGTGTTTTCAATATTGAAAGCCCATTATGCTCTTCACTGTCAGTGTTTTATAGCAGGAGCACTGTTAGCTTCTGTGTCTGTGGACGTGAAGGTTGGGTGTCGTGCAGCGTGACCTGTAGCTTTATTTCCAAAGCAGCAGCTATTGTAGAGTTCAGCCGGAAGCTGCCGTGCATGCCTCAGGGATAAGCGTAGCTGCTCTGCTTTGCTGCGTGAGCCAGTGCAGCCTGGGTAGCTGGCTCAGTGTGTTTTTACTTGTACAGTACAGCGATGACGACGAAAGCTACAGCGTGACGCAAGGAGATAGACTCCGGGCCCTGAAAAGCAGAAGGCAGCCTAAAAAGAGCGCTGTGCCCCTCACGTGAGTCCGGGTTCCGGGGGGGGGGGGGGGGCTGATGTTCTTGTGTGTGCGTCTGAGGCCCTTCATGAGCTTTTTTTTTTTTTTAAATATTTCCTCCATAATTGCATGTCCCTTGGGCCACTTTGACATGATTCTAACTTATTTTAATCGAGTTATTTTAAATAGCTACGAAGCTCCAGGCTGTCCTCTGTTTATCTCCATCTCCATCCTAACCCTCTAGGCCATGTATAGGAAAGCATTTAGGAATGCTTTTCCTCTGGAATAATCTCTGGACATCCTCAGAGGTGTCACATCAGGTGTAAGCCACAGAACAATAGATTTGTCCATAATTACTAAAAATGGTGAATATCTTTAGACTCACTACTATGTTCCAGGCAATCTCTTTTAATATGGTAGAATTGAATCAGTGGTGACATGGTGGCTTAATGTCATCATATTACTTTAGGGCAACAATAGATTAAACTATATGTTTTATTTAACTTTTTTGTGTGAGGAATTATATTCAAGTTTCAGAAGGTTTAGCATGGGAATAGGAAGTATTAGAGTCAGTGAATGTGTGTTTGTCCACTTGTTGCTTGTGTAACTGATAGTTAGGATAAAATTTCACAGAGCATCCAGTATGGTTTAAAAAAAAAGTAGAATAAAAACTTAGCATCATACTTTTTTTCTAGGATATTCTTTCTTTCTTTCTTTCTTTTTTTTTTTTTTATTCCTTAACTGAAGATAGGTTTATTTATTGAATCGAGAGAGAGAGAAAGGAAAGGAGGGAGGTGAGAGAGAGAGGTCAATGTGAGGAACAGTAGTTGGTGGCCTCCTGTGTGCATCTGGACCAGGAATTGAACCCGCAACTGTTAGGTGTACAAGGAGATGCACTGGCCAGGGATGTGGGTATTCTTCAGTAGATCTCCCACCTGTGACGCTGGATTTCTCCCTCCGATGACCTCTCATCGTATGGGGCACCCAGTTTCCAGCCCTCTCCCCCTATTCTGTGGTGGACATAGGCCAGTTACTCAGTAAGCATCATGTAATATGGTGCACAAGAAGCTAATGACATAGTAAATGTTCATGGCAGAGAAGAGCAAGCCTGTTTTTCATTAAAAATGGTTCTTTCGCCCTCACTGGTTTTGCTCAATGAATAGAGTGTTGGCCTGCGGACTGAAAGGTCCCAGGTTCGATTCCGGTCAAGGGCATGTACCGTGGCTGCGGGCACATCCCTAGTGGGAGGTGTGCAGGAGGCAGCTGATCGATGTTTCTAACTCTCTATCCCTCTCCCTTTCTCTCTCTAGAAATTCAGTAAAATATTTTCCCCCCCAAAAAAATGGTTCTTCCCTGGTATCTCCTATTAATCTTAACTTCTCAAGTAGAATCGCACCTAAGGCACGTGCTGTGGGGCCTCTGCCTCAGGGCGTCCTTCAAGACCCTGAGAAGAGCAGAGTTTTCCAGTATAAAGTGCTGTGTGAGTGGAGGGCATCGTGTTGACACAGGCCCCATTTAAGCATTATCTTTGCAATGGGGTTTGCATCAACTAGAATGCTTTAATACTGGTACATTTTACGTAATTTTGCCAAGGGCCATTTTTAATTTCATTAAAAGTCTTTATTTAAAGCTTGATGGGTTATTTAGAAACATTATAGTCCCTCCAAGTACTTATTCTTAAGCCAGTTTTAGACATGATGGAGGCAACAGGCAGGGCCCAGCGCAGAGCCTGTCAGATGTCAGTGTGCACGAGTCTCCTGGGGAGCTGGGACCCGCAGGGCATGCAGCCCACCTGCGGGTCCTCATTCCAGCAAGCTTCCAGACGCCAGGGAAGCCCTAGGAAAGGGAGATTGCGTGGGCTGCTTTTCACCGAGCCCAGGTTTTTTGTATTGCTTTATTTCTCAACAGCTTATTGCCTTCTCCAGCTGCAATGACAGTTCTGCTTAGTCCGACCTTTTTGTTAAATAGGGCTTTTAAGAAATTTTCTGCCACTGAGCCTGCTTCTTGGTGAAGGTTTCCTAGAGTTCAGCTCACTCTTTTCCAGAACAGTCGAGGCCATACTGTCTCTCGTAGCTGATGGGTTTGTGTAAAATACAACAGTAAATGAAGACTGGCATCCTAAATGTGTCGGACCCAGAAGGTGACACCAGGTGCCATTCCTCTCCGCTTGGTGTTTGAGGTCTGGGGGCGAAGGCTGATGGTGAATGACGGAACTGGCCTGGGTGGGCTAGGGGAGCCAGCCTCAGGGTTTTGTTACCCAGTTACACCCCCACCCCACCCCAAAGCCAATATAGGACCCTGGCCCGTTGCTCTGAAGCACTCTTGGTATAAATTAAAACCAAGTAAAATGGTAAAAGTTATAAATGTTACTAAAGAAACTAGTTCAGGATCCTCTTTAGTTATAACCCAAAAATAATAGAACAGCCTCTCCACACAGAGATGACGGGCTTGTAGGCCACACTTTCGAAGGAAAAGGCCGAAGCCCCCATGTGTGCACAGGCCCTGGAATGTTAGGTCAGTGTCAGCACCTTCCCTTCCGGCAACAGCTGCTCACCCTGTCCTGCTCTTTGAAACCCTCTCTGCTATTAAAATCATCTCCTTTTTGCTCTGATTTGTAGCTCTCTTGGCTCTAGAAAAGGAGATCAATTGGAGATTTTCTTTTCCTCCCAAGTTTTTGTTCTTTTAGAAAGAAAAGTCCCCTGAGAGTTTCAATAACATTTTAGATTGAGAAACCTGAATTCTATCCCCACCTCCCGACCGCGGGCAAGTTATTTTTCTTTGTGTTGGCACTTAAGTCCAAGTGAAAATACTCATCATAAGGAAAGCTGGTGAGAAGCATGTGATTCTTAAGAGAAATTTATGGTACGTAAAATACCATCCCATTTACCGGTTTCTATTTTATAGTCAATATTCGGGAAAGTGAAAGTCATTAGAAATTGTAAAATAGTCATTTTCTCAGAAAGCTCTGTGATCCTGCCCACCGTGAAGACAGTGGGTCATGTAGCCCATCACCTAGAGGCCATCATCAGGCATGATGGCAAGTGCGTGACTGCCTGTGCTCACATAGATTTCATAGATTTGATAACCCCCGTGCTGCCTATTTCTGCATACTGATCCTTTCTGCTAGTTTGCTGTGGTTAAATGAGATGCTTCCTGAGGAGGGGAAATGTATCCTACACAGGATACAAATTACAGATCCAATTAGCCTTGAAAGGCCTTAAACGCCCCCTTAGCGGTACAGTGTTGACGGTGACTTTTTCATCACTGGAAAATAATTCATATGCCAGGAGCTTCGTTAGAGGAACAAGGTGTATGCTGCGGACACCTGGGTATTCGATAACTGTTAAGTCAGTAACTGGAAGGGAGCATTGGGTTGGTAGGGTTCGGTAGTGCTCCAAAGTCATTTATCGATATTACATTCTGTAACTATTAAACCCCTGTAATCTTAACATGCAGCAGATTTTGTTGGTTTTGTTTTTCTTTGCTGGCAGGAGTAAATGAGAGAGTAGATTTGGGTTCACACCCACATAGGATGCCTGGGCCTGGCACCTAGCATTCAATGATAAGGTGACAGACGTTGAGGAAGATGTCTGGGCAGTCTTCATCATTTGTGCCCAATAGTTTGCACAAAGCGAATACTCAATGGAGCCTCTTGTTATTGGTCACAGATGTGTCTAGGAGTTAGCATCCTCCCAACTGTGAAGAGATCCCTTTCTCACTGCGGGACGCCAGGCCAGGGGTTAAGAAACACCACACTGGAACCCAAGTTGGGTTGCATGAGGAAAACAAAGGAAATGTGTCCAGTACAGCAGGTCCTCCAATGGCGTCACTTTGTTAATAACACTGAGAAGATGCTGTGGGAAATTAACTGTTGTTAATATCAATTAGTCTACAGTTAAATTGGTTCTGTCATATTATGTTTTGCATAAAGTTGCAGAATCTTCAATGATGTTATGTGAGAACTTACTGTATTAGTTCATGAGGATAATAGTCTTCATGTCACATTGTGTGGGTTTCCTATACTTCTGCAATCTTTGTTTTCAGGACATGCACCTCCTGGATGGTACAGAATATGGCTCCATTGGAGTGAGACCAGCCCACTGTGCTGTGTCTGCCTCTAACTGGGCCTCCGAGCGGATGGATGTCTGTTAGTTATCAGTCCCAACCTTTTTTTTTTGTTTGGTTGGTTTTGCCTCCTTTTCCCCTCTGGTTTGGTTCAGTTTTATGTGTGTGCATATTGTGTTTTTTGAAGAATTTCAACACTATAACAACAACTTTGATTTCTGTATCATACAATTAAATTAACATGGGGCAGTTATTGAACTAGAGATTGGGCCTACTCTATCCTTACCAAGTGTCAAGTCAGTTTAATACTGAAGACAGCATTTTGTTGTTGTTGTTGTTAGTCCTTGTTCAATGATATTTTTTCATTGATTTTTAGAGAGAATGGAAGGGTGTAAGAGAGATAGAGAAAGAGGAACATCAATGTGAGAAAGAAAAATCGATTTGTTGCCTCCCGCCCATGCCCCAACCAGGGTTGAGCCTGCAACTGAGGTACATGCCCTTGACCGGGAAACGCATGACACACTAACCACTGAGCATGCCGGCCAGGGCAAGACAGCCTTTTTTCCCCAACATAATATAGCAAAACTCCATCCTTGTTTCCCACGCTTTCACATCATCACATGGTGTCTAAAATTTACACATGGCTTTATTTATTTATTTATTATTTTATTTATTTTGGCTTCTCAGTTTGAACATCTGTTCTTTCCCTTCACCCCTTTTCAGATGTTCCCTAGCTGTGCTGACCTCTGCACTGTGTAGTGTTGTCATCTGGTGGATTGTGTGTGACTACATTCTTCCCATCCTGCTATTCTGTCTCGATGGTTTAAGAGCACAGTAGCCATCGGACCCTTTGACAAATAGCTGCTGTGTAAGTGTCCCACCCATTTCTCTACTGTTCACTGCTGCCCTGTTTCCCATGATGCATGTTTTTGTCATTAGCAGCTCTTCCCGCTTTATTGATTTGCCTTTTTTCAAAGGTTCCTCTTCAAAAACTCCTCAACTCATGGTGAGGTGTCCGGGAAGGAGGCCCCTCACTATTCTTTTTACACAAGGGACATTAAAAACAACACACTTTGATTTTGTTGTTGTTGTTTAATGTTTTCTATTTATTTCAGAGAAAGGGAGAGGGAGAGATAGAAACAACATCCCCAAGGAGAGAGAATCATCAGTAAGCTGCCTCCTGCATGCATGGCCCCTTCTGGGGAGCAAGCCTGCACCCCGGGCATGTGTCCTGACTGGGAGTCGAACTGCAATCCTTGGTTCCTGAGTCGATGCTCAGCCATTGGCTTTGTTTTTACGTTGTGCTAACTCTGAATAGATTTCTTGAAGTAGCAACTTAAAAAGACACCAAGCTAGCTTCTTTCCCTCTCAAATATATTTGGTTACTTGGGATGCTTTTCTTTCAATTAATTGTTTGTACAACTTTTCTCTAGTTGTCTAGAGTAAACATTTTTAGTGTATCCTTTCCAGTCTAGCAGAAGTAAGTTTCGCACTGATTTTGTGCTCTTGTAAAGATCTGACTGTGCCACGTCCACAGCCTCTCGCTGCAGGCAGCTGCTTCCCAGCAAATCTCTGTCTTGAGTCTGCGGAACCCTCTCCTCTCCCTCATTCCCCTGCCTGCCCCTTTCAGTCACGTGCAATGTTCAGATCTGGATGTTGAAAGGAGGGAAGCAAAGAAGACGGGAGTCTTATCTATGTTTGTGTTTCTGCGTGACCAGCGCTGCTCCCGCCTTGCTCCTGCCTGCCTTCTTTCCCCAAAAGCAACCAAAACGCCTTATTGTGATATGAACAGACTCTGTGTTCTCTGGACACCTTTCACCCTTAAACAGAGCCTTGTCAGAGAAGAGGCGTCTTTCCTGCAGAAGAACGGGCACGAGGCTCACCGGGGATCTCCAGCCCAGACCCCGCGCAGGCCCGGAGCGGCGCCCTGGTGGCTGCCGGGACCTCTGGCAGCTAGGCTGCCTTCCTTATTCTCTGACATTTTTCCTGTAGCTCATATTCAAGGATTTCTCTTCTTATTCCAACTTGGATCTGGGAGTTTTATTAAGAAATGCAAAAGTTCTGTTAGGACTTCGTCCAAAGTAAAATTCCATGGCAACTACCGCCGTGTTTTATGGTTTCATTGAGTGTCTTCAGATGGTGGAAAAGACTGAAACCTAACAGACGTCATGCTTTTCAAAATTAAGGAAAAGCTGCTTAACATGTTTCTATTGTGACATTTTCTTAAAATGTGTCATTAAATACCAACTTGTTGCCTAGGCTGACCCTCTGTTTCCCATATAGATGGCCCTTTCCGATGGTTTTCCAGTGTGAAGCTGTTTTGAATAGATGAGCTCTGGTTGGGTGGAGGCGTTGCTAATAATACTTCGGTGCTTTTGAGTATGTCATTTTCCCAGGTAACTTTTAAATGGGCTCCATGAGGCTCTCTTCTCTTTACCATCTAAGAAGGTGTAACGCTCGCCATTGCATTAGGACCACAGCAGAGTATTCATTTAGCCTGATTGATTAATTTGGAATTTACAGAAATCAAAGCGTTCAAAGGTAACAGTGGGGTAAACAAAAAGAATCCTCGTAGTTGTCTTTGAGGCCATTACTCATGGGCACAGCGGGGGCGCGCCTGGAGCTCTTGAGGCCCAGTACCCCCCGGGTTGCTGCGTCAGACTCTTACTGGGAAGATGCATGCGGAGTTGCAGGCCCGGCCCATCATTTGGGAAGCTCGTTTGGCATCTGGGTGACAGCCAGAATTGAATGTTCAAAGCACTTTGTGGCTTGATAGTTTTTACTTTACAATATTCCTCAAGTTGCAGATGCTATGTCCAAACTTGGGGAATATTGGGGCTCAGAAGACACCGCGGAGAAGAAAGGAACTGCGGTGCAGGGCAGAGGTGAAAGGCAGGCCTGAGGATTCTGCTGGGGGAGGTGGAATGCTCTGCAGGGTCACGTGATTGGTTTGCCAGGTGGCAACGCTTCCGTCTCGCTTACCTTGGCAGTCTGCCAGCTTATCCCCTTGGAAGGTGGTACTTATTCACCAACACAGGGAACATTAAGTGCGGTTGCTGGATTTTTCCCACTTCGTGGTGCATAATCTACAGATGTAATAGCTGCTCTATTGTTGATGCAAACAACTGGGGACCTGAATCTTTATTAGTGTGACTAGTGCATTCTAAATGTATAGCATGCGCTCTTTCCAAGTTCCACCTCAGTTATTGGTTATTAATATTATATTAATTCACATTAATTATTTACACTAATTTTATAGATTTAAAGTTGGTAGACATTTTATAAAACAAAAAATTTCCTGTTAGCCTAAAATTTGATTTAGCGGTAATTTCTCGTCTTGAATAGTATTGTTAATTTAAGAAATCAGGTCTTAAGTTTCCTAAGCTGGCAATTATTGGCCCTTGTTTTTCCTCATATTAATGATTTGATGGTGCGGTAGCTGTCCACTATGGGCTGTGAGTGGCCTCATTTGGAAAGTAGGAGTGGTATTTCAAAGCCAGCGGGAGCCTCGCTGCCTCTTGTAGAAGCGGAGGTAAACCGCCTTGTCACGCGGGTGAGCAGCCCCGGGCCCGGGCCTGGGCTCAGGAACGGTGGCCGGAGCACCCTTGGCTGGTTTTTGTTGTTTTATTTTTCCTTTGTGAAAAATTTTAGATTCACTTCTTTAACAGACACTACTAAATATCTCCCCCTCCTTCCTATAATCAGAAAAAAAACTTCAAATAAATCCTTTTTTTTTTTCAGGCATAGAATTCATGTGCCGGGGCATTAATCGCACAACTGTGTCTGCGTATGCCAGCACAGTCCACATTTAGGAGGTAAAACTTTATGAGAAGTCCTGAGTCCAGCATTGGCTCATTAGCGAGGATCAGTTTCCCTCACCGAGAAGGTGGGGTGGGGTGGGGTGGGGGGCTGTCTCATGAGGCTTTCAGAAACCCTCGGTGCACAGCAGCCCGGTCAGCCCTGCCCCTCATGCCAAACAGCTTGAAGACCATGGGCCCCTAGACTTTCGCTCTGCTACAGTGCAGCCCCTTGTTTTTTAGGGATGGGAGCAAGCATTTTACTAAATATCGATGGTTTCATGCTTTGGGTAATAGTAAGATTGTAGGAATTTACTAATCTAATTTATACTACATTTTAAGGATCTGGTGTGCTTAATCAACAAGTTAGTAACTCAGGCATAAGAGGTAGGACCACTAGTTTGTTGGAATGGTTTCTTTTTTAAAAAACATATATGTGTGTGTTTTTTAAATTGACTTGAGAGAGAGAGAGAAAGGGAAAGAGGGGTAGAAATAATGATGAGAGAGGAACACTGATTGGCTACCTTCTGCACGCCCCCCCCCCCCCACCCCTCTCAGGGATAGAACCTGCAACCTGGGCATGTGCCCTCACCGGGAACTAGCGACCTCTTGGTTCATGGGCCAATGCTCAACCATGGAGCCACACTGGCCGCGCTGGTATGGTTTCTTTTTACTCTTAAGAGCTGAGTTCAAGTCTGCTGTTATTGGCTGTGTTATCTTTATGTTTGCATATGCGATCAGGAAGCTTTTTCAAGCCAGTGTTTCTCTTAGAATCACATTGAGTACTTTTTCTAAATGTGAGGCATACATTTGAGCATTCCAATCTCTTGAAGAAAAGGAATGTGTGTAAAATGTTTTGATGTTTTCCCTGTGACAGCTGAGTGAGGAATATAAAAACACCCTCCACTTGCACGTAGGCTGGATCTCAAGGAGTTCTGATTCATGAATTTACCTCGGCATAATTTACTCCCCGGCACCGCTTCCTGGAGTTTTCATAGTTTAATTAAATCAAGTATCACAAAATTCAAGCAGTTCCACTTTCTTATTAATGGTACTTGGTGATTCAGTAAGTACAATAGTTGTAATCCAAACAAAACTCACATTTTACTTGAACATGGTTTTAAAATTTGAAGTCTTATATGAAATTGGTATTGATTCAGGGTTTATTGCCCTTACTCTCAGCTCTGAGGAGTGAATATTATCTAGATATTTATATTCATGTTCTATAGAATTTGGGGGATTTAAATGGCTTCTTGTTTTCATGACAGGAATTCTGAGGACTTCCTTTTACTTAGGACACAGACATTTGCTTTGCTGGTTGATTTCTTTGGTGTGAGGATTGTTGAAATACCAGGTCATTCGTTCTCCAAAGACAAAGACTCTTTATCTTTTGTGTAACTAACCTTCGTAAGGAAATGAGGTGCTTCATTTCAAAAGACCTCAATATAAAAATGTGTTTGTGGGAAATCCTACCAATTCTCCATCAGATCATTTGTATTCAAGTGCAAAAATGCCTTCCTGGGTCAAATATTTGAAAGTTGTTTCAGTGATATAATCTTATTTTTTCCAACTGTTTTCAGAGTAATTCTTCAGTCCAGTGTTCAGAGCTGTAAAACATCTGAACCTAACGTTTCTGGCAGTGCAGGCATTGCTAAGAGAGCCACCAGATCTGCTTCAAGGAAAGGCAGTTTTAAAAGGTGAGAAAAGAACCCTACTCTTCCGAAAAGTTCAAGCATTGCTTCCCGTTTACCCTTCGGGAGACAGGAATGCAGGCCCAGGCAGGGTCCCTGTGACGGGAAGTGATCAAATGTGTTTGATGTGTTGGTCATCGAAGGGAATCTGGGCCCTTTTAATGCAGCCTTTTGTTTAGTTTCATTTTTCAAAACCGATGTTCAGCCCTGAAAATGTGGCCTCTGGGTCGTAGAGTGGGCAAGTTGCGCCTGATGTTAAGTCCTCAATTAAGAATTCCCAGTTCTCTGCCCGGACTCGGGGCCCGCTCTGTGCAGATGCCGCGGTGAGCTTGCTGCGGATAGTGTGGCGGTGGACACACCAACTTCCGTGGGACTTCGGTCCCGCACGACTCAGGGACTCAGCCCACAGCCAGCGGCTCCTCCTCTCCCTCTGAGCCCAGCGTCTTCCCTTCATCGCTGACAGGGAGGGGCTTGTCCTGGGACCTGTCTGTTATCACTGCTGCCCAGGAGCTCTGTGGTGGCCTGCGGGCAGACGTTTTGTTCCGAACGAATCTAGGAGCAGGTCCCTCTGGGAGGAGCAGGCAGCCCTCCCCGCTGAGCAGTACTTGTTTTTGATCGGAGGATGGTGAAGGAATTAATACATTTGTATAATCTGATTTAGTACAAAATAGTCTGAGCTGAGACTATTCTTTCCTCAAACAGCAATATGAAAAGAATAGACACGTTTCAGAGCTCATCCGCACCCTCGAGGCGCAGCGCCCGCTACCCAGCTCCTCCTGCAGGTGGTGGCCACGCCGTCCCCCCAGCAGGCGCTGGGCTTGGTCCCACGTTCTGTCCTGTTGAGTTCTGTTCCGTTCTTAGGGTTCCGGAGAAGACCTCCCCTCACGCACCGCCCACTGCCACGCTCTCTTGACATGGACAGTTTACTGAGTCTCCACAGCACGGGAATTTCCCCACAAACATGTTGAAAGAGCGAATATCTGACAGTGAAAAGTATGGCTGTGGTCATACGCATTTGCTGGCAGAGAAGGCCCCGATGTGCCTCGTGTCCATGCGGGGAGGCCACCTCCCCTCGGTCCTGTGTGCCCGCCCTGCTCCGGCCCGGGGCCAGGCTCTGTGCTCCCTCCCCACCCCCTCCCGAGCGCTCTGCACCTCCCGCTTCCTGTCAGAGCTAGACACCACCTAATGTCGCTCTTCAGTCCAGTGAGGAGTGGCCGTTCTCAGTGGCTCCATTAGCTCGCTGGAGGGTCTGGAGAAGGCCGCCCCCCTGCCCTTCAGTCCCCTGCTGCACCCCTCGCCCGCTGTGCGTGCTTCCAGCAGCTTACGCTCTTTCTTACGGCAGTCTCTTTTCTTTTTTTTAATCGTAACTTTATCCATTTTCTAAGAGAACTGCATATGCAAAAGGGGTTTCTATTCCAGGTTTCATCCTTGGGGACCATCACTTTCTGCTCCACCTGCCAAACCTACCGAACGTTCATTGCCGGGGACCCTGCGCCCAGTCACCTGCTGCGAGGGCTCCCTCGGCCCCCGAGACGCGCTCTTCCCCCCTTCATGCGGAGGAGCTGCGTTAGGGTTGCTGTTTTCTTTTTGGCCTAAGTCGTCTCGTTTGTGATTCTTGCCGTCGTCACACCTGACCCGGCTTCTGGTCCGTGAGCGTCTCGGGCCTCAGTGACTGTTCACCGCGGGGCTTTCATTTCCATTGCTCACCTCATCTCCACACGTGCGTCCGTGAGGAAGGCCAGAACGTTCTATCTAAATATTCTCTTGTTTAAATGCTGGTGACCTCTGCCCTCCTAGGACATTAATCTCCCTTTGAAATTCCAGATCCGTTCCCACTTGAGCAGCCCTGGCCCTTTATCCTCAGGGCGTGCTGCACGTGTGCAGAGCTGCTCCGGATCGGATTGGTCTTTCTGACCCTGCCTTCCCGTTAGTTCTTCTCTGAAAGCTGCTGTTTAGGTGAAGGTAATAAATGGCGGAAAGAAACCCGGCAGGTAGCATGAGGATGAATCAGGGCAGTGACTTACGGGCAGCAGGGGTGGTGTGGCCCCTGACGGCTGCACTGGGCTGAGCTGGGAGCCGCGTGCAGCGCCCGCCTTTCTGGGGCCGAAGTCTGGCTCTGAAATAACCGAGTAACACTCCCTTATCTTTCCGTTCTGTCCGCTCTCCCCGCAGCCTGGTTCCTCAGAGGGAAGGAAGGAAAAGGAATGCTTTGCAGCAAATGCCCCCCGCGGCATTATGGTACTCTCACTGCCCGCTGCCTCTGCCCACCCCTCACTGTGTTTTCAGTGTTTTGTTTTTCGTGTTGTTTTCTGCAGAACTGAACCTTTCTCTGCTTTGCCTTCCTCTCCTGTTTGTTTTTATGGTTGGTATCGTACTGTCGTCCAAAATATTTGTCATTAAAGAATTATACAAATGTATACTTTTTTAGCATGCTGATATTTTTTATTATGTTGCCTTCCTTGTCTTTACTAACTATCTGTGGGACACTAAAACCTTTGTGGTAAATCCTGTTCTTTCTCCCGTAGTCCCTCCATTTCGAGGACTAAGACAGTGTTGCGTTAAGTAAATCCTTTGACCAGAACTGGAGGAAGACTGGGGACAGCACTGCATCAGGACTTAGCACAATTAATTTGGAAACTAAACAAAATTGCAAACGCCTTAGCTGCTTTCCACCTAAGAAGCTTGTTCAGTGAAGAAACCAACCCCTGGAGTGTGGTAGCTGCACAGCGTGGGTACCAGTGGGACGCGAGGACAACCCGGCTCTCCTTTGGCAGACGCGTCCCCCGAGGAACAGCCGCTGTGCGCTCAGTCTCAGGTGTAAGCGCCAGAGCCGCGGTGGGGAGTGCGTCCCTGGGACTCCCCAGGGACAGTCTACGGAGGCCCTTCGCCATTTATTTTCTGTTCGCCCTGCGCCCGAGTGTACAGAGGTGGGCAGGCCTTGCCAAAACGGTACTCTGATCTGATTCTGTCTGGAGTGATCCTCTTCCCTGGAATGCTGTGTGTAATGTTACCTGGTAAGCCCCGAGCCGCTCGGTTCCACCACAGAGTGCTTCTCCTGGAGCCTGGGAAAGGCGCCGAGGCTGCTGCGAGGCCCTCACCCCTGCAGGGCGCGCCGAGGGGAGTGGCTCCGTTGGAGGACGCTGAGTCGTGCCTGCGGTGGTATTAGGGACTGAAGGCTCCACGGCTGCCCGCTGTTCAGTTGCCTTGTCATGCCTTCCGGGCATGAAAAACCACGTGTCAGTGTTTCTCCTTAGAAAGGGATCCCAGATACCGGGCTTTAAAACACTCGCTGTTTTAAGAGGGTCTTTCTCGGTAGCATATGGACTTCTTGTCACATGATCGGCCAAGGCCCTTCCCACACCCTTTGATTTCACATCTGGATTTCAGTTTGTGCTAAGACACTCACTGTGGCCTTCAGTTAGGGATCAACTCTTTGCAGAGTGCCTTCTCCCCCGCCCCGCAACAGCACAGCGGAATCTGATGTAAAGCAATCACACACTCACACAAACCAGTTTATTTGCTGCTAAAATATAAATATGGTCCAAAATAAGAGAATATTTTTCAAAATATTTAGAAGTGAATGGTTTTAGTTTCTGTTAGCCAATGTCGGCCTGCCCTGGTTTGGGGAATGGGGAGATACAGTACTGAAAGGCAGAACGCCTTCCCGTTGCAAGATGAAAGAGGCAGGTCAGTAGGCAGCTCCATTCTGTAAGCTGCCTTTTAAACAAAACTCGGAGGACTGAAGAGTGGGTGGTAGAAACAGAGTAAAGTCTGTGATTGCAGAAGTAACCGGAAGGCCTTCGCTGTGTTTGGCATTTCCTCTCGGTAATTGGGGGGTGGGCTAGCTCTGAGGGGATGTGGAGTGGAAGATGCCGTTGTTTTGGCCAAACAAGCAGTTCTTCCCCACTGGGCGCTGTGGGGGCCCTCACGCCTGCTGCTCTTACACTCTAGGGCACATGTGTCAAACACAAGGCCCGCGGGCCAAATCCGTCCCGCCAGGCCTTGCAATGTGGCCCGCACCGCGCTGTCATCACTGCACTCCGCTGCGTTTCCATCACAATGACAGTTTATGATTGTTCAGTAAACCATTCAGCCCGCGATTTAGGCTGGATTTTAGATTTTGGCCCCTTCTCTGATTGAGTTCGACACCCCTACTCTAGGGGATTAGATCTCAGAAAAACGGAGGGCTTTTGCCCCTGAAGTTCATAGACAGATGAGCTCTGGGTGGGAGCCAGCTTCTCAGTGAGCTCTGGGTGGGAGAGCAGCATCCCACCGCCGCATTGTGCTGGGGGGCGATCCGAGATTTCACAGCGCCCAGCACAGCATTGCATCCTCAGCGCAGCTCTGCGTCCCTCCACACCTAACGGCCATCCTCCGCCGAACAGTCCAGGCAGCTGTGGAAACCACTTCCTCCTGAGCCCGCCTGGCTGGGCCTCTGGTTACTTCACAGCAGTCAGTGTGCTGTCCCCTCAGAGGAAGCCCTGTGGTGTCTAGGCCAAGAGTGAAAACTGGGCGGCAGTGCCAACCTCAGTGCTTTTTATTTTACTAATTGCCTTTTTGTGTTGGCTGCTCACATTTCCAGCTCGAACTGCTATCCCCGTGGCTCTTTCTAAAAATCCTTGTGTTTAACAGGATTGCTCCTGAAATTAGTCTTAGGAAATGAGTGATTTGGGACACAAAGGACCCAGCACCAGTGTTAAACTTCCGAGGGCCATGTCGAGAAGCCAGGAAGTTTCTGGGTAGGACTGATGGGTAGTTCTTGCTGTGAATCAGAGTGGAGTCTCCAACCCGCCCCAACCGAACCGTCATCGCACCCAGAACCTCCGGGGCCTTTTCGGGCCCTGGTTCCAGGAGACCTTGTCGCTGTGGAATATGAAACTGCTTGTCAGCTTGAGAGACTCCTTTCACTTAAGAGCCTTAAATAGCTTTGAAAGTACACCCAAAAGTTTTCATTGGAATTGAAAGCAGAAATGAATATTTTTAGGTGCCCTTAAAGCTTTCTGGGGACAAAAGTCTGGGGCAGTCCAAAGGAAGGGGTCTGCAAAACTGGGCCCCAGCAGTGCAGACAGACTTCTCTTTTGTTTTCAAGGAGAGCTAAATGGCACCCAAGGCCCACTGCTCCTCTCCTCTCCAGAACCTTCTGTTCAAACTGAGCCCCTCGGCCGGTCACCCGCCCACTTCCTGCCCCGCCCCCCTCCTCTCCCAGGGGTAACTTTTACCTCCTCTCTGGGCCCAGACGGGTTGCAGAGGCGGTGCACGCCCGTGCTCTGAGGAGAAGGCTTCCTGTGGGTGCGGCCCCTGGCTGGTCCTGCCGGCCAGTCCTCTGCCTGAGTCACTGTGCGCTCCTGTGATGTTTGTTCTAAAAGGAGCTTCGCTGCTTCTCTCCACGCATTTTTAACAGTTATTCTTGTATTTGGGAAGTCGTGCTCATCAAAAACAACTTTAGACAACTCTCATCCCTTACTGGTCTCAACCCACGGGGCTGGCTGCTGCTCTCCCCCCCACGTCCGCTCCTCCCGGCAGGCGCGGGGGCATTACCTCCTCCACCGCCTCACCAGTGTCAGCAGGTAGCTTATCTGAGTAGAGTACTGCGGTTTTATAGTAATAATTTGCATACTTTTATCTAACCTGCACTCATGTACAGATTATAAAAAGTTTTAAAATGTAACTGATTAATCAATACTGGGTCAATCATTGTCTTGATTTTTTTAATTAAAATGTATATTTCTAACCACATTTTATAAAGCTGAGAGAACTGGTTGAATGAATGTTTATTTTCCTGAAGGTATTTTTTTAAGATACAGCTTCATAATGGCGTGTGAACTTTGCATATATATGTAGTTTGATATGTATTGTTGCATTTGAAATATCATGTGTATTGTAACTGGTTTTATACAAAATATTGAAGAGTGGAAATTGTATAATTATAATCGTGTCATTAAAAGTATTAATCAAATAATCTTTAGATTGATTGTTCGCTTACTGACATTCTGAGTTGGAGGAGTATTGTGACGGTCAGTCTTCGTCCACCGGGGCTGTGACAGCAAAACACCCCCCCACACACACACACATATATACACACACATGCACACATATATACACATATACACACATACACACATATATACACACGCACATATATACACACACATACACACACGTACACACATATATACACACATATATACACACATATATACACACATATACACACACATATACACACATACATATATACACACATACACACATACACACACATATATACACACACATGCACACATATATACACATATACACACACATACACACATATATACACACATATACACACACACATATACACACACACACCCCGGGCTGCTGGCTCGGGGCCGGGGGCTTCCCGATGCCTCTCTGGGTGGCCCTTTCTCCGTGCGCTTGTCCCTGCGGTCCTCTGTCTGTCTTGCTCTCTCCCGACACCATCCCAATGGCCTCCTTTTAACATCATCACCTTTTAAAGGCCTTGTCTCCAAACAGCCCTGTCCTGAGGTATGGGGGTTAGGGCTTCCATTTAGGACCGGGGGATATTGTCCGGCCCATCGCACCTTCCCCAGAGAAGACAGTGGGCACGTGAGGGGTCACTCGGCACACACCCTCACCCACTCCGAGGACACGAAGGTTTCCCTTCCCAGACACGAAGATGCATCCATCAGACGGCGGGTCTTGCAGGCCAGAGGCGGGAGCCCCTTCATCGTCTGCAGGCTCGGGACCCGAGTGCTGGGCGAGAGGCAGGGCCGGTGCCCGCACGCCCTGTGCTGTTCGGTGCGGACGGCCTTGTGCCCAGCTGCCTGAGCTTGTCCTGAAGGAGGTGCTGTCCAGCTCCCTGGGGACGGGGCTTTGCTTCATGCTGGGATGTGAGTTTTCAGAGCACAAACCAAAGGGACCTGCCTTCTCACCGTCACGCAGACACCTGCCACCAGAGAGATTTGCGGGCTCTGCCCTCCCTCGAGAGCTATAATGCCCACCCGCTCCCTCGTGACTGACCTGGAGGCCAGTGCTGGGCGTGTGCCATCGGTGACTGACCAGCTTGGTTAGCTGGCAGGGGCCCAGCAGCTCGAAGTCCGAGGCGGCGGGGGGGAAGGGGCAGGCGTGGCGGCAAGGCCCCTGCCTGGCTATGGATGGAACCGCAAGGTGCGCTCTTTCTCCTCGGAGCAGCCCCCTGGGCTGTGCAAACCTCTGAGAGCCTGGCCTGCAGGAACTTGCTTCCCTGTGTTGTCAGCCACACTGCCCAGAGCATGGACAGTCTGCTAAAACCCCTTACTCCACTCACATGAGGTGGGAATAAAGAGCTCCTAACAGTAAGTACGAGTATTATTAATAAATGAGATCACACATGCAACACACTCAAAACAGTGCCTGGCACATGGCTTCCAATAATCTTACGTTTAAGATAATTTTCTCCAGGTGACCAGGTAAGGGCTGACTTTAATAGCAGTCCTTCGGTACCTGATACTTTTGGTACCTGCAGTTTAGTTTGTGTGTTAAAAGAGGTCAAACTATTGACCCTTGCCCTATCAGGTTTGGCTCAGTGGTTAGGGCATTGGCCTGTGCGTCCTGGGTTTGATTCCAGGTCAAGGGCACGGACCTAGGTTGCAGGCTCCTCCCCAGCTGGGGCCCAGGTCTGGGCTGGTACAGGAAGGCAAGCAATTAATGTGTCTCTCATCAATAGTCCTGTCTTGTCTATTTCCTTCTCTCTTCCGTTCTAAAAAATCAATGGAAAAATATCCTCAGGTGAGGATTGAAAAAAAACAAAAAAAAGAATACAAAACAGAACAACAAACTTGACTCTTGCAGGGAGAAACTCCCGCATGAAGGTAAGTAGAGGGCAGCCCAGAGGCTGGGCAGCGGCATGCCCGAGTACCAAGGCCCCCTCCCGAGCCTCGCGCCTACTGAGTGCTTGGACAGGAAGAGGCAGCGGTGTGCATCCCACAGCAAGCTCTGCCCTGGTCTGGCCGCGGACCCTCCGCCCTCGCTGCTCATCTGTACAACTGGGCTAGTAAAAGAGATGGGAGTGCGTGGATGCCTTTGCTGGGGCCCGGTGCCAGCCTGCGTGTAAGCCCGGGATTGCGCTTCCTCTCCGTGAGTGCGTGCTGAGGGTGCGCGGGAGAG